TATATATATATATATATATATATATATATGTAATGTATTTTCCCAAAGCCCAAAGAACGAAGATACATCACTGACTACATCACACAACACAACTGATCAAAACAGTCTGAAGTGAAAATGTCACGGCCTGAGACCTTCTGCTTCTTGTGGTTCCGTTTAACCTGTTTAAGCGTCACATTTCCATCTTTTAGATTGCAGAGATAGAGAGTCTGAGAGGCGTTTCACTTCGGGATGATGTCATTGCCCAATGCCCATAGTGAAACTGTGAGTATCTTGAGTACCTTCGAGCGGAGCGATTCACACACCTCCATACACACCTACTCTAGTGCACTCGGCGATCAGCAGAAAGCCCAACCAACAGAGAGTGAGATGGTGTGAAGTTATGCCAGGCCAGGTCACGGAAAGGGCATTCAGATACCGACAGTCATTCTGACTGTACAACATGTGGGGGGTTTTCAGACGGTCTTATGAAAGTGTTTTGATGCTTTACATCATCTTTCATTGCATTCACAGAGACAGTGATTGGTATCATGCATTTGTCTGTTTTTGTTACACTATAAATGTTTCATATACTTTATTTGGTGCTAAAATGCATTTGGACAATGAAACCCCACCTGAAATGTCCTGCATCAGATCAAATGTCTTTATCTGTGCGTCTCAAATGCTCCAGGTCTTTTCTTAGTCATGTCTGAAGTCTCAATGTGTTTGAATCAGGTGATTTAGTAGATGTGTGAAGTCAGTTCTCCTCAGGTTCACAAAGGTGTCCTATCAGAGGAACCACAGGTGGAGAATCACATTAGCAATCCACATCAACCATTAACCACAAACCACACACGATACTGACTGTCTTCATGTTCAACATTTATTGTTTTAGCATTTCAAACCAACAATCGTATGTCTCTCAAATGTTTTGCTTGTTTGTAAGTGTGTTTGTGCTTCTTTCTTCACAATAACTGACACTGGCTGTGATAAAACGTGCTGTTTTTGTTTCTGCTATCATCAGATGTACATCATGAAACGAAGAGGATTTGCGAGAAAAAAAAAACAGAATTAAGGTGGGTCGTGAGAAAGTGACACATTTATTTGTCACTCTTCCTCTTTGTTTTCTCACTGCAACCGCAAGTGATAGGCCTATAATGCAGAGCAGAGATATTCAAAGGAAAAAATTACAGAATAATATAATGCAGTCCAGAAGGGTGACATTTTTTTTTGTACGAACTCTTTATCTTTCGCAGTTTGGTGAGGCTAAACATGATTTGATTTTAAGCTGATAAAAACTGCAGTCATGTCAGATCAAATAATGTTTCTGGCCTACAATTTTCAACAGAAGTGCCCACTGATTCCAAGAACCATAGCTAGAATGAAAACTTTATTAGCTGACAATAACTAACGATAAGGAAAGCTACATACCAAGGAACAATGACTAACGATAACTAGCCATTTTCGCGTCCACATAGAAGAAATAAACGTTCGTTTATTCTAAGCGCACGCTGAAGTTTTGCCGCTTTAAATCATAGAGCTTTTAAAGCTCAAATGGATGAATTAGCCATGTTTTTAATCATTCATAGGATGCAAAAATCGATCTGAATGTGATTCCAAATGCATGAATCCTCGTTTTTATCTTGTAGTGTGGATTTGCTTTTCCTAAGTTCACATACCATTATTCTGCGAATTTCGCAAGCGTTTTGTCACACGGATTTGCTGTGCTTCAGACATTTCTTATATAGATAAATTATAATAGACAGTTGACTTTTTTCGCCTAAATATTTTGACCGCTCTTTTATTAAAGCTTTATCGTTCTTCATGGTGTGTACAGGCTTTAATCCAAGTTTATGTTTTATATAGGCCTACAGTGTATTTTACACAGGTGTTTTAAAATCATTCAAGATCATAAAAGATTGTTGTACTTTGTGTTTTTCTTTTCCTGACCCGCACAGCTGGTGAATCTCACTTAGATGAAGCTGAACTAGATGAATTTCCAGTGTTCAATCCCCTGAGCCACAAACCCTCAGAGACTCGCGATGCTTATCGCTAACTCCTTCCCCCCCGTGTGTCAGGAGCGTCGCTCTGCGGTGAGGGCGGCGGAGGGGCTGTGTGTCTGCATATGGAGCAGGTGAAGCGGTGGGCTTGTGGGTAAAAACGAGCAGGAGCTCTAGGGGAGACGGAGGGCCCGGTGGGCTTCTTTGATCGCCTTGATCTCTTCGTTTTTTAGCATTGTCTTCTTTGCATCTTTCTAGGAACTCGAAACAATGCGCTGTGTGCGCTTTCTTGAAAGTGCCTTTGGTAGGAAAGTGTCTGTAGCCTAAGTGAAAACAAACGTAAAGGTGAGGTGAAGGAACATCTTTACATTGTTCCTTTCTCTCTTTGCAAAGTAATGAACAGCTATGCTGTAGGCCAATGTTTTAAACTCTGCTTTAAGAGGTGTTATAGCCTACCTCTATAGCACATTTCATTCAAATTGGTAACTCAAATCGCTTTACATAAAAAGCATCTAAAAATAAACTTAAATTCAATCAAATTAAACATGTATTTTATGTATGAAAAGCTGTCCGTTCACACAAAGAATGATAACTATACAATAATGATAAAAAATACTTTAAAAATATATTTTCCATTTATAGGATTAACAGACTTTAACACAAATATAACGACTCTTCTGAAACTTAACCATGGTTTTAGCTACTTTCTTTTAATTCTCTCTTAAATTGTTGCAATTTTTCTCCAGTTTTGTAGTTTGTCTTTCCTTGTTCTGCTAAAAAAGTAAAACTACAATGACTTTGTCCCTTGGCATGCTGGGTAATCTCCTTCAGCCCTCTGTACGCACCAAAATCAAAAAGCAAACCAGATGAGAAATCACACAGTGGGTCGGTGTGGGCGCAGTGTTCACGTCTCTGTGGTCTCATGAACTCCTGAAGCCTTTGTTTAACCCACCATCTCTCACAGCTGCTAAATATTCAGCGTTTTTGTTAGCCTATTTGATCATAAGCCCAGAGAGGAGTTTAGAGCCACTGATGCTCGTATGAAGGTCTGGAGCATTCAGATGATCTACCAGAAGAACACTGTATCCATCAGAGGTTAGTTTTTATAGTTACAGTAAGAGTTTAGAGCATTGAAATACATGTGGAGAACAGATCAGATGAGATAAGAAGTGTTTGTATTCACTGCAAAAAAAAAAAAAGTGTTTTTCTTCGTATTTTAGACTAGTTTTTCTTTACAAATATCTAAATCTTCTTAAATGAAAATATATTTACTTGACATAAGTTAAGAAATTTTGTTTTCTGAAAAAACCTTAATTAAAAAAATAAAAATATTGTCATCATTTCACTCTCATGTTGTTCCAAACCTGTATGAGTTCTTTCTTTTTTGAACCTAATTTTTTTGAAGAATGTTTGGGGACCAAACGGTTAATGGTAGCCATTGACTTACATACATTTAAAAAAAAAATGCTGGGTTGGTTCAACCCAACTTTGGGTCAAAAATGGACTAACCCAACTTTTGGGTTAAAAATGCAATTTAAAAATGTAATCCAACGGTTGGGTTAGTCCATATTTGACCCAAAGTTGGGTTGAAACAACCCAGCATTTTTTAGAGTGTAGTATGGAAAAAAATGCTATGGAAGTCAATGGTTACCGGCAATGTTTTGGTTGCCAGCATTACTCAGAAAATCTTCTTTTGTGTTTAACAGATGAAAGAAACTCATACAAGTTTGGAACAACCTTAGTAAATGGTGACAATTTTATTTTCTGCGTGAACTGTCCCTTTAAAGTGAGTTTATGCTTAAAATAAGAACAAACATCTGCCAATGGAGTCAGAAAAAGGACGTTAACAAGGGATAATGACTAATTTTAAGTATAAAAAATCACTTAATTTTGATGAATATGTTATATCATTTTGTCTCTCTGAGGAAGAACAGAATGCACTTTTTGCATTGTTGAGATCATTGACTTAAATGTGTTTCCTCTAGACTGTAATTTTGTCCAATCTTCAAAATATCTCAATATTAACCCAAACATTTCTCTTCCAGTGATCAAGAAGTTCCAGAATTTTTTTTTTTTTGTGCTAATGTTTGAGAATGTTATTAATGATAACTCTGATTGAAAGTTCTATTAACATTGGTAGAAGAATGTTTGTTGATAGCTTTGATAGAACCTTGCCAGAACAACCAGAGAAGGTTTCCTGTTAGCTTGTAGTGACTCATTTATTTCTCCTGCGGAATTGTAGAAGGATTTGATACTTTGAAACATAATTCAGATACATTTCCTGCATTGGGAGATTTAATTACAATTTGGTTAAATGCAGAATGAAAGTGACAGTGATTTGCATATTCTGCTCTTTTCTTATGGATGGCAGTGATGACGAATGAGCAGATTTACCAGCCGTCCTGATTTGATGTCTGAAGCGAGTCTGGTGAGGACACATCAGAAAACTCTCGTACTTCCTGTAGCAGCTTCAGAACCGAATCACAACTCTCACAACCAGACGCATCTGCATCGCCCGCATCTGGACACCCGAGGGTGAGTCTGACACCAAGAGACATACAGCTACAGCTATAAATATAAATAATAAATACTAAAAAAAAATTTTTTTTTAAAGGGAACAGCAGTTATATCATGGTTGTGCATCTAAAAAATTTTCCATCACTTTTAACTTGTGGAGCTTTTTTTATTTTCATCTTATTAATGCTGCAGGTGGCTCTTATTAGTGCATCAAAAAAAAACACATTCTTAATATATGCTGAATGGTTTAAATTTAGTGTAGTTTTGGAATAAATCGTGTCTTTTACTTTTTACACCTGTTTAGAGAAACTTGGGTCAAAATGTAGTGCATTTTAGGGTTACACTTTATTTCGATAGTCCACTTTAGACATTCTACTAACTATAAAAAACTTTGTAACTACATGTCAACTACATGTCAACTAATTCTCATTAGTTTGCAACTACATGTCTACTAACTCTCAGAGTAGACTTAGGGTAGGTTTAGGGTTAGTAAAATAAGTTGACAAAGAAAGTGTTATAAGATATTAAGCAGACAGTCTACTAATACTCTACTAACTGCTAGTTGACATGTAGTTGCAAAGTTACTTACTGTTAATAGAATGTCTAAAGTGGACTATCGAAATAAAGTGTTACCCATTTTAGTTTTTAATGTCGAGAGCTTAATGAAAGTTAACAAATAACAAGTCTATGTCGAGAACTCATCTGAACAATGGCTCTATGATGATCTGGATGATTTCCGAGACGTTTGGAGATGCAGGTGAGCCGGTGCAGGTGTTGATGCTGCTTCACGTCTCTAAACCTCAGATTCTGTTGTTCTAACTGAATTCAGTCTTGAACAGCTGCATCGCCATCAACCGCACACAGAACATTCAAATCTGTTTTGTCGATTATTGTTGTTCAAGCAAAACAATCTTCATATCAGAGTCAAAAATCTACATCAGGATTATTTCTATATTAGTATGTATACATTCTCACAATAATTGAATATTTCATTCTTTTCGAGTTATTTTTTCTACTGATGTGGAGAATGAAAATAAGTTTTGTATAATGAATAAACATATTTGATGACAATTTAATTCACATATTATATATTAGTATTTAGATATTTTCTTATTGTATACAATTATAATAATTACCCTCCTCATTTATCGTCTAATATGGAAAATTACGAAAAGTAACAATACTGATTATAATAGCTATATATTGAATAAATGCATATTTTGTTTAATATTATGATAATTTGTATATATTCATATAATATATTACTATTATGAAATAAAATAATACTGATACTAAATATACAATTTTGAATAAATATATATTGAATATATAATTTTCTGTATAGTATTTTTTCTATACTGTTATTTATGAACGCTATATCCTCTTATGATGTATTAAATGTATAGTATATATAATATTATATTATGATAATGTTTATATATATGATAAAAGTTTTATTCATTAAAATATTATATTGAAATAATTAAATATTAATTTAAAAAAGTAAATATTATATGTACATTTAGTCATTTAGCAGACGCTTTTATCCAAAGGGACTTGCAAATGAGGAGCAATCAAAATCAACAAAAGAGCAATAATACTCAAGTCCTATAACAAGTCTCGGTTAGTCACAGTACATGTAGAAAGTTTTTTTTTTTTTTGTATACTAAATAAAAATAAATCAAGTACGTAGAATAGAAAAAGACGAGAGAAAGCAAGTGTTAGAGGCCTTTTTAAAATGTAAATTAATTAAATAAAATTTATTATTTAATTTTAATTTTAAAAAATTATAAATTTTTTTGTACATTTTTGCATTTTTTTATAATATTAATTATATTTTATAGTATTTAGCTTTATTTGTTCATTTATCTTCTAATGTGGAGAATTTAAATATTTATACTAGTTATTATGAATAAATATATTATATTGTTCACTGAACTCATTAACATATTGATTATTATGAATAAACTATTAAAACATTTGGGATTTGCTGTGCTTTCATTTCAGATTGTAACCTGACCTGATCTGTCGTGGCTTCAGTCCCGCTTTTAAAAATGCCTCGATCGTTTCTAGTGAAAAGTAAGAGGGCGGGGCATCACTCCACACGCTCCGCCCACTCTCAGCATCAGCATCATGACGCATGGACGTCCAGCAGTCGCTCTGCGGCTCTGGAGCTGCTTCCGTGCACATCCACCGACAGCAGCCGAACCCATAACAGCACTGATGGAGCTGGAGCTGAACCCGAACCCTGGCCTTCATCCACTGCAGGTATATGAAGAGCAGCTCAGCACAGTGTAACACCAGCAGTGACTGGAATAGTGTGGCATGAGAATATGACAGCTTGCAGCTCATGAGAACTTAACTTGAACAAAACTCCCACAAATGATCAACTTGAATGACTCACTATGATATTTTTTCCAAGAACTAAATACCTCACCACTATTCCGAATAATTAAAAGCCCAGCTAACACAAATGTTCTAAGAATGTTTTGCTAATGTCCCCATTAAGTTATGAAAACATTTTATCTGAATGTTCTCTGAACGTTCAAAACGACCCGTTTTTAAAACATTTGTAATTTATTTCATTTGTGCAAACGTTAAGGGAACATTGTGTTATCATTTTGCAAACGTTATAGGAACGTTACTTTGAATGTCCTCTGAACATCCTGAAACATCTATTTACATTTACAGTTAATCATTTAGCAGACACTTCTATCCAAAGCGACTTACAAATGATGAGAACAATAGAAGCAATCAAACCAAAAAGAGAGCAACAGTATACAAGTGCAGTGACAATGCTCAGTTTAGCACAGTACAAAATGTTAGATGAACGTCCAAATAAATGTTTCTGTTTTTGTGTAACTTTAAACAAATGTTCTACTAACATTACTGGGACAACATTTGTTCATAACATGGAGAACCTTGCCAGAACGTTCTGAGAACATTCCATGTTAGCTGTGAATATTCATGAATGTTTAATAATAACAAAAACAGTTCCAACTGCCTTGTATCGCGCTGTTCAGTTTTAAGAATATATTTCCCATAATGCTTTGCAGAGAGTGAGCCTGAGAGCTGTAAAGGCCCGTTCAAACCAAGGGCAATATAGCGATAACCATATAATTTCAAATGTTTTAAAAAACATTCTACAGTTATAACAAAAAACGACACAAAGTAATGCTATCATTGGAATCACTTTCAGCACAATTTTTCCAGCTAATGAACTATAAAAACTTTGACAGCGAATCAGAATCCAGCCAGCTTTAATGAGCGCGAACGTTTAAAGCGGCAGCGCGCGCTTAGAATAAACTAACCCGATCTCATGAATGTGCATTTCAATGGCACGATTTTCTGTTTCTATTTCTACTTTAGTGTGCATATGATACACAATTGGTAGGTTTAGGGGTGTGGTGTAGATGTGTATTAAATGCGTATTATATGCACGCCAACAAAGTGTGTATCATATGCACGCAAAAACTGCGTATTATATGCATGTCAAACACGTGCGTATCGTATGCGCGCCAAAGTCAAACAAAAAGTAATCAATAAATAGAACAAAAGAAAAAAGACTGCAAGTGACGTCGCTAGCGGAAGTGCAAATGCCTGAGAATACAAGTCTGAGAGTGCAAGCGCCAGGCAAAGTTTTTGCGTATAAATAGTAGTAGTGTCAACAAAAGTACCGACCGCAATACCATTCGGTACTGAAATTTGAAAAATGTCCATTTCCTACTAAGATTTGAGCAGATTCTTAAACAGGGCTGATTGGTCATTGTGTTCACGTGCGTTTTAAGGGCTCTTGTGTGTTTCTGTGTGCGCGCTCGGTGAAGAGCGGGAAGCGATGATCACTGAAGCAATCACAGACATATCTGTTGAGCACAATGACCAATCAGCGCTGTTTAAGAATCTGCTCAAATCTTAGCGGGAAATGGACGTTTTTAAAACTTCAGTACCGAATGGTTTCGAGGACGGTACTTTTGACCACATTAATAAATCGCACGTAAATACACACACACACAAAAATGTTACTGATAAGCATTTTCATGAGACCTGGCTCAATAAACAGATCGTTAATATAGTTTTTGGTGTGAACGGGCCTTAATGAAGAGGACTGAGTGAGTGATTCAATGTGTGTGCTCCAAAAATGATTAAATCCTTGTACTGCGCAAAAACATCACTTAATATTTTGTTTTATTTTAATTCATGTCGTCAGTAGTCATTTTTGCATGCTAAGATGAAAAGACAGGACATATTCCATTCTATTGTATTGTGTGTGATGGCAGTGAAGCAGTCTGGAGTTTGTCCACTGTCTAAGCTTTCGTGCTCTGTTGCGATGGAGAGACAGAGCGAGCTGGAGTGTCTGATTCAGGCTTTACTCAGTCACCATCAGCTGAGCAGTGTCCAGACGCCGCTGTGTGAATGTCCAGTCGGTGAGAAGGTGAGGAACGGCCGTGTGTCCTTTATTGAACACACCTGATTGCAATTATCAGCTCGACAGCACAGAACAAATGCATTTAGATTCATGGGCCGCAGCTGATGATGAGAAAACATTATTCATTCAGCCGATGATTTATTAATATTTCCCGCCACGGGAATAAAAAAAAAACCAAAATTCAGAATTTTCTTCTCAGAATTGTGAGTTTATATCTCGCAATTATGAGAAAAAAGACAAAATTCTGACCTAAAAATTGCAATTAGGCTACCTTTCTTATTTATATTAAAGGGGTCATATGATGCTGCTAAAAAGAACATTATTTTGTGTATTTGGTGTAATGAAATGTGTTTATGCGGTTTAAAGTTAAAAAAACACATTATTTTCCACATACTGTACATTATTGTTTCTCCTCTATGCCCCGCCTTTTTGAAACGCGTCGATTTTTACAAAACCTTTTCACTTTTCAATATTACAGCGAGAATAAAAGTTACTCCTTCTTTCTTTGTGTGAACATTTGGGCGGTGTTATGCAAATCTTCCCACATAGTGAGGTAGGTATGTGGGGGCGTGTTCAAACGAGCCGTTTTAGGTAGGTGTGGCTAACTCTTAACTTTTATAAAGAATATCTCTTTGGATTTGAGACTTTAGTCTTTGCAACTTTACAGATCTTCTTTATGCACCAAGAGCTTGTAACACTCTAAAGAGAAAGGAATAAATGAAATCGCATCATATGACCCCTTTAAGTGGCGGGAACAAAACAACGCTATCTCACGACCAATTCGTATGTATTTTACGAGGTGGCTAATTCGTACGAATTCGTATGACCTCACTCGTACGATTTTGTACGATTTGTCTAGACCCCAGTGATGGGTAGGTTTAGGGGCGGGGGTAGGTGGA